TACTAGACCTATGGTGGCATAGTGCTTAAACACTCAGGTGCTAACTGAAATTGTTGATGGTTCAAACTCACCAGCCCCTCCATGGAACAAAGATGAGGCAGCTTGCTTCCATAAAGATTTACAGCCTTGGAAGCTCTATGGGCACTTCTCCTCTGAGCTGTGGGGTCACTATGAGTGGAACTGACTTGATGGCTGCATGGAAAAGTATATGCCCAGTGCAGAGAAGCATGCACAAGCCAGCAGCAACCGGGAAGTGTGAGTAGGAGAACCAGTTGCCTTTGAGTCAGTTCTGACTCCTGGCAACCCCAGGTGTGTCAGAGTACAACTGTGCCACATAGAGTTTTCAATTGCTGACTTTCTGGAAGTAGGTCACCAGGTCTTTCTTCTGAGATGTCTCTGGGTGGACTTGAACTGCCAACCTTTTTAGTCATGTCTCCTTAGGCTCTTTAATGTTGCAAGTCCTCCCAGATGCACCTTTGAAGAAAGGCCTGGTGACCTACTTCTAAAAACATCTGCCATTGAAAACCCTGCTTGAGTCCTTGAAAACTCCGAGACAACTTTTAAAAAAATTGAGCATTTTCTGTTTTAGTTGTGATGTTACACACGTTATATGCATTGACTCTCAAGATAACTTTTTTCAGTTGTTTGCTATTATTATTCTCAGAAGCTGTAGTAGCGCATATGTTAAGCACTTGGCTGCTAATCAAAAGGTGAGCAACTAGAACATACCCAGTGGCTCCCTCGGACAAAGACCTGGTGGTCTGCTCTTAGAAAGATTACAGACTAGAAAACCCTATCAGGCAGTTCTACTCTGTCACATAGGGTGGCTATGAGTCAGAATTGATTCAACGGCACACAACAACAGCAACAGTATTATTCTCATGTTATGGATAGGGATATTGAGACTTGTGACCCCTCCTTGGGTTTCTGAGGTGGTATCTCTACAGAAGTAGATTGTCCAATCTTCCTTCTGAGGAGTGGCAGGTGGGATTGAACTGCCAGCCTTCTGGTTAGCAGTCAAATCCCTTAGGCACTATGCCACCAGAGCTCCCCTATTGAGACTTAGTGAGATTAAAAAACTCAACCAAATTAGGAAATGGAGACGTCAAGATTATGAATGTAAATCTATCTAGCATTAAATTGCAACTATCTATCTAGCACTAGAGCTACACTAATCTCAATCATCATCCTACATCATCCTTAAGGATGGTAGAGACAGTGGATGTCAATGCTAGAAGGGCAGGTAAACAGAGTTGAGAAGATCAGGCCAGACGGATGGTCAAGAGTTTCAGAGATGAGGTGACTTCCAGAATTGGTTATGAATTTCATGAAAAGAATTACTTTAAAACTTCAATTTGAGGTCTTCAACCAACTTCCCTCATTCCTCTCATTTGAGGGTTAGGCAATAAGCCTCTAGGAACCAGGGTTTAGTTTGACCCAATGAAATCCATTTGAAAACATCTTCTATCTCATAATGCAGGATCCAGTTACCTAGATGTACTGATATATATTTTTTAAAACTTTAAATTTCACTTAAAGATATGCATTTGATAAAGCACATTTGATGTAACGTGTTTTCCAGTTTCTTTTCTAAGATATTCCTTAATGAACTGGGAGCCAGTTGATTTGTTGGGATTTGGGCACCAGCATTTTATAAATGAATGGGAACATGGGTAGAGAAAGTTGGGGTAGAGATATGCAGGTTTCCAAGGAGAGCAGAAAGAAGGAGCATTCTCCAACTCCAAACATGAACTGCTTATTCTCCCAAGAGTTAAAGCAGCAAAACAGAAAAGCATCTCAACCCAAGAAAATGTGCTAGTGGCTTTCAAGGCACTGTCTTCCAGAAGCAGAGCTGACCTTTAACCACATCCCCTGAGTGGATCCATCGTTACACTATGCAGTACACAGGGTCACCAACTCTCATGGTTCCAATTTTTTCCACCAAGCAATAGGTCCCGAAAAGAGGAGATGATTTGTATATATGTTTCTCAGATGGATCACACAGGCGGTAGCTGAAAGAAGCAAAAATTTACCATCAGGCACAAAAAGGAAATCAGTGAGTGCTATCTTTATAGGATTCACATCTTCCATGCTCAGGCCTGGTGAGTTATTTATGGATAAGTAGCAAGGCTTTTCTAAAACATTGATGGAGAAGGCAAACTGCAAACAATCCTGACTTTTCTTGAAAGGTCCTGAGAGTCTAAACAGTTTTTCCTTGGCTTCAGTTTGAAGCCAATATGGGGGAAAAAAAAAGTATATGATGACTTAAAATTAATACATCACTTATATGTGTTACTTAAAATAAAAACTTCAGTTGCATGTATACTTTTAACTTCACAATTCATTAAACTAAATACTCATGGAATCTCAAAATAGTTCAGTCTCTCACAAACTTTATTTAATGCATTGGAACATTATGATATCAATCCCCTCAAGGATGAGCCCAAAACTGGGGCTCTTTAGTGGACACAAATTCAGACTGTGATACAATTAGCATGTGCATTTGAACTATTACTGAAGTTATTATTTTTATTTTTAAAAAGAAGCTAAAGAAAAAATTAACATCACTGAATCTCAAAAACCAAAAATCAAAATAGAATTATATATCTGAAGGGTTCAAGAAAAAACTGTGAAAGGTTCTCCTCAAACTATACCTATTGGCAACAGGACAACAACAAAATGGAAGAAAGAGACCAATAATATACAGCACGCAAAAATGGTAACTTAGGTTTAAAAATCATCTACACTGAGAACTGAAATCTTGGCCAAAATTCTTTAAACAGTAAAACAAAACAAAAACCATGACATAAAAAAAGCTTCTGTGTAAACAACCTCTGATAACTTATTCCATACTTCATTACACAACCATTATTATTATTATTATTATGTAATACATACTAATAGCTCTGGTGGCATAGTGCCTAAGGCATTTGACTGCTAACAAAAAGGCTGGTGGTTCAAACCCATCAGCCACTCCTCAGTAGGAAGGTTGGGCAATCTACTTCCATAGTGATACCACCTTGGAAACCCAAGGAGGCGTCACTGTGAGTGATCTGACTCGACAGCAGTGAGTTTGGTTTGGAGTTTGGTATTATTCAATTGTTCTCATATTACTTGATATTGGTTCTAATAAAGAAATCTGAGTTGGTAATAAAAATAATTAAAGTATTTGAGGCCTTAATTTCAAAATGCACATGTAAATGTTATTAAACATTGGTATGGAGTTATTAGAATTTCAAAACATAGTATTATCCCATTAGAAATTTGTGAAAAGCAGTTCAAGGTCCATCCAGGAAAAAACAGGAAGCAACAAGGACCCACCTATATTAGCCAACAGACACAAACCAACCAGAAGGCAGAGTGGAAAGTGTTCAGACAAAATGGCTGTATCCACTTAAATTTCAGGCTCAGACAAAGCACTCAACCCGCAGGGAGCTCTAGGGTGACAATACTCCTGAAAACATACCAGACACTTGGGTGTTTTACCTCTTCAGGGTTTCCAGTGGCTCCTTCCGGTCTATGACTCCAGTGTCTGGGTCCACAGTGGTCATAACGCACCTGTTGGGTAACAACCAAGGCTAAGGCCGGTGGTTTTTTGCTAAGAACCAAAGGACACACTGCTCTCCAGAAGTCATGTCTGGAAAGATTCCTCACCTGGGGCAAGACATAACCTTTTTCATTTCCACGTTGCCAATTAGGAGTTCATCCCAGGTGTCCTAAGAGAAAAGAGAACATTTCCTCTTAAATTAATCATCCGACTTTATAGTAGTATTATGGAACTAGCAGAAGAAAGTAGCAAAAAAAGATGCCAAGGAGTATGCCGCCCACAGAACTCAGAGGGAGGTAGTGTGTTAATGAGGCCAGGGTCCACCTCTCAGAAACCTGATTCTGTCAGCACAGCAAGAACAGATCTATACAGGGACATCTGTCATGAGGATTACAAATGAACTAACTTAGTTAATTAGCTATTAACTACATTAACTTATAAATTAATTAGATGGCCAATTTACTGATATACAATGAGGAATACATTTGCAGGAGAAGTCTGTCCTTCCCTTATAGTTAGGCTACAATGGGAGCTGAATTAAAGTCTGAAAGTTCTTTGATGAGCAAAATGTCACCCAAAGGAAGTCAGTCATAAGATTCATGTAATAAGCATTGCTACTTCCACATAGGGACAGTCTGCCAGTGGGGTCCCACTATTCCACTGGCTATGTTTTCCCACCCTGGAACAATGAGCTCTGCCAATATTTGCCCAGCGGTTCAATCAATTCTCACAACTTTGATGTAGGTACTACTATGATCCCCATTTAAAACGAAGAAACAAAGGCCCAGAGAAAGATTGTACAATTTTCCTGTGATCATCGCAAGAAGACTAGATTTCAAAACCCTTTTGATTCTGAAGGCAGGGTTTTTAACCACCAGCTTTTAACTATACATGTTGTTGTTGTTGTTATGTGCTGTTGAGTCAGACCTGACTCATAGCGACTCCTCCTTGGGTTGCCGAGGTAGTATCACTATGGAAGTAGATCGCCCAACCTTCCTTCCAAGGAGTGGCTGGTGGGTTTAAACAGCCAGCCTTCTGGTTAGCAATCAAGTGTCTTAGGCACTACGCTATCAGAGCTCCTTTAATTGTGTGTGTGTGTGTGTGTGTGTGTATAATTATAATAACTATAGTAATTATAGTATGTATAATCTACATAAGTTCAATAGGTATTAAAAAAAAAAAAACTGCCATCAAGTCTATTCTGACTCATAGTGACTCTATGGGATAGAATAGAACTGCTGGTATAGAGTTTCCAAGGCTGTAAATCTTTACTGAAAGAGGCTACCTGATCTCTACAGAGTGGCTGGTAAGTTCAAACTGCTAACCTTTTGGTTAGCAGCTCAATGCTTTAACCATAGTAGCACCGGAGTGCCTTCCGTATATATTGTATAGATTATAGGTAATATAAGGAGCTCTGGTTATGTAATGGTTAGGGCATTTGGCTGCTAACCTTAGGATCAGCAGTTTGAACCCACCCCTCCACAGAAGAAAGATGAGGCAGTCCTCTTCCATAAAGATTTACAGCCTTGGAACCCACTGGGGGTTGCTATGAGTCAGGATCAACTCAGTGGCAGTGAGTTTGTTTTTTGGTATACGTAATATAATTACTTTAAATACTATTATATTACATAATATAAAATATGATATAATGTAGTTGAGAGGGGAGTTATGTAGCACTCTAAATATTCAGAGGCCTCTCTCACTAATAGGAAAGCCATCTGCTATTCTTTATCTTATAGGGGCCCATGCCTGTCTCTGCTCAGATCTGTTGATTTTTAAAGTTTGAATTCCACAGATGGGGAAGTCTCCATGAGGAATTCACTTAACAAACTACTTCTTTATGGGGCAAGGATTAAGCACTCGCTGCTTACCTTCAGGTTGGAGGTTTGAACACACCCGGGAGGGAAAATTTCAGACTAGTTGGGGGTCACATGTTCACTTGTGTGAGGGGAGGGATGGTATGGAAAGAGTCTGTGATCAGCATGATGACATTGGGGAAAGAAAAGACACTGAAACATGCACATAAGATATAGACAAATACAGAGGCAAATACTAGTACATGCACAATACTGCGTTACCACTAACACCCAACTCCAGGTTAGAGATAAATGCATAGACAGGTGAGAAGATCAGGTAAGGGTCAGTGAACAGGAATATACCCTAGACCAAGGATAGATTTAGCTGAAGATAATCTTACTCGTGCACTTGTGGTACAAAATTAGCCACATTTATTACAGAAGCAACAGAAGACAGAGTTGGAGTAACTCAATGGAGGGTCCAGACTATGATGGATTAGGAAGAAAGGCCTGGAGATCTATTTCCAAAAATCAGCCAATGAAAGCCCTGTGGGTCACAAGGATCCAATCCTGAGTGAGGTCTCTATGAGAGACAGGCAGCCAACTTGACTGTAGCTAACAACAATGACAATTACCTAAAGCGATGATACTGTGGTTTTTTTCAGTCCACCTCAAAACGTAAGAAAAGGAATAGAGGAAAGCAGGGAGAAAGCAGGAAGTACTATACATAATGGGCTCAGTTCGGTGGCGTAATTCTGAGATTTTGCTATGAATTTGCATTCATCCTGTAAACTTAAATTAAGATTAGATTGTTCTCCATCACAAGTAGTACCCAGAAAAAGAAGTGAAATTAGGTCTTTAGGAATGGGAGAAATGTGAAACACAGAACTTACAGGAAGCATGGGGGGGATAGTTACTTATTTGAGACCTTCACTAGAATCCATATAAGCATTTGCAAAGCCAAAAATTAAATGTGCAAAACTTAAAACATAACCAGCAGAGAAGATTCTCTATCTCTGTCTACATGTGCACACACACACGCACACATACACACATGCATGCTCACCCATGCCAAGATGATCTCTTAAGTACCAACTTGCCCACAGAAGGTCAAGAAAACATGAGCATAAGAGGTAAAGGCAGGCAGCAAAAGCCCAAATGGCTTCAGAAAAACAGTGGCAGGGGTATAAGTGGAATTATTTTGGAAAGCACAGATCAGATCAGAACCTCAAATCCAACTGACTTCAATAGAGCCTTTGGGACCACCAGCCTAGGCCTTTCACTCCCCTAACTTTAGTTACAACACTGGTGAGCCCTTTTCTGTGATCCTGATTTTCTGTGTGCTACTCATAAGTTTATTGTGTTGTGTTGTGTTGTACATACAATTGTTAGGAGCAATTTTACACTCTTATGAAATAAGATGAGGGAATGAATAAATGAATAAACAAAGAAAATTGTTCAGTTTTGAAATCCTTAGCACTTTTTCAGGTTTGGTATCAATGACCCTATATGATCAAAATAAACTGGGAAAGTCATCAACTAGAGACTGGCTAAATGCTTCATAGGACATATGTACAATGAATTATTATGTGGGCATTAAAAAGGAAGATGGAAGTTGATACCTATTGACACTGAATAATGTTCAAGATGTTGCTGAATGAAGAAAAGCACATCATAGCTAGCTAGATAGATAGATAGATACATACATACATACATAGATGATAGAACATATGGGATGATTTCCCTTATGTTAAAAAACAAAAGCAAAAGCAAAAACAAAAAAAAAACAGCAATGTATCTGGAAGGTTCCTCACCAAGATTTACATAGTGTTTTTTTTTTTTTTTTTTAATATATAATAAATTTTTATTTTCTCCTTTTTCTTTCTAGCCTTTTTTAAAAAATATGAAATGTTGTAATTACAATAAAGCATTTAAAATATCATTGTAGTCTAAGTATATCTATGTTAAAATATCTAAAAACAAAAATTGTTATTTTTTATTTTTAAGGTATGCAAGGACATCAATATTCCTTAGTGTTTTTCAGTCTATTCAGCTTTGCCCTATAAAGCAGTCCCATGGCATTCTTTCTACAACTGGATCCAGCTGGTATCAATCAAACCTTCTAGGCACCTGCACCCTGCATGCACGTCCCCTCATCCCCTGCGTGGAGAGCTCCTTTCTCATGGGCTCCGTGAATGAGATTACCTCCTCTCAGCCTTCATCAGTTCTGAGCCCTTGGTGCACTCAGCCCTACATCCTGCTCTGTCCAGAAACCCTTGCAGCCAGGCACAGTGGGTTCACTTGGGTATTCTCTCTCAGATATTAGCACCCAGTAAGCCCTCAACAAACATTTATTGCAAGTGTAATGTTCCAGAATATTGGGCAATGGCATGAACTTGCAGGAAATTATTTTCCCATTAAATGGACAAATTTCCTTCAGAGACTAAGGATGTCATAAACAATTATTAAATTAAAGGAGACACTACTTTGCACTTACCAGATAAGTAAAGATTGTAGGCATAATAAGGGCTGGCAAGAGTTCAACGAAAAGTGTATTCTCACACTCAGCTTGTGGGAATATAAATTAGTACAGTTTAAGAAAGCAACGTGGCTATATGTACACATAAAGAGAGAGAGAGTGTACATGCCTTTAAAACACTGATTTGGTGATTCCTAAGAATTAATTTAGAAATGTAGACAAAGATTGTTTTACACTGACGTTCATTGTTTATATATAAGAGAAAATGGAGAACACTCTAAATACCCCATAACAAAGGAATGGTTGAATAAGTCATTGCACAGTCATATAGTGACCTAATGTGGAGCCACTAAAATGTGCTACTGAAGAATTTATAATAACAGGGGTATGTCTGGCATACATAATTAAGTGAAAACACTGAAATCCAAAACTATATATACAACCATGTGAGGCACCACTTTACCCCTAGGATGGCTACTATGAAAAAAAAATAATAATAAATGAAAATAACTGTTGGCAAGGAAGTGAAGAAATTGGAACCCATGGCCATTACTGCTGGGAATGTAAAATGGTGCAGTTGCTGTGGAAAACGATTGATGGTTTCTCAAAAAGTTAAAATAGAAGGACCATAAAACAAAACAATACCAGTTGCCATTGAGTCATTCCAACCCTATGTGTTTCAGAGTAGAATGTGCTTCCTAGGGTTGGTTGGTTTGCTTTAAGTAATAAAAGTAATATTTTATGTTTCTTGTGAAAGTTCACACAGCAAGTTATGTTCCCATTTGACAATTTCTACACAAATTGTTCAGTGACATTAGTTATACTTTTCACAAATGTGTCCAAATTCTCTTTAATTCCATTCTGGTTGTTCCATTTCCAGTACTCTAGTTTCCC